AATGAATGAAGGACTTCATTTAACTCTCCCATAAGTACCACCATCCCAATTTTTATAAATGAAGTCTCAGATACTAAAAGGTTAAATAATTAGCTGAAGTTAGTAAGTGGATAGCCAGTTCCAAAGTCAGATTTACCAAAACGTAGAATTGGACTTCGTAATTGTCATGTTACACAACCTCTTTCTGTAAAAACAGGAAGGTGGAGTCATCCTGATAGATCTTTATAAAAATCTGGGACCAGCAGATGGCATGGTAGTTACACTGTTGGACTCCCACATGGTCAATCACATTCAAGACAGGTGGCTTGAAACTCACACCAGGCACATATGCGTACATGCTCAAGATTCCAAAAGGCAAATGGGAGAGAACGCAATGCAGCATGGCCGTCCCCCCAGGGGGTGATTTCTCACTTTCTATCTCTCTGTCTCTCTTTGTCTCATTGGCAAGTGCATAGGCCCTATAGCAAATGCCTCTCTAAAAAAAGTGTTGACCTCTTTCTGATAAATAATTTGAACAGCTTCATCAATTTTTTGTATACTTTATCTCTCCCTCTTGACTCATTTTTATCTTCTGAATAATTTGGACTCATAAATATCACCTCTGACAAACTGTAAAACACATGGTTGTCTCAGCCATTACCTCTAGGGAAACAAGCACTGTTTCCCAGAACGTACATGTTCAAGTTCAGTGAAAACAATCTTTATATATTATAGCTTATAATATATTCAGCATAGCCCCTTATCTCTGCCCATAGATAGCTCACTTGCTCAAGTGCCTTTTCAGGCTAAATTCTCCTTTTCACCACTGCTATTAACAAAGTCTGTCCTGGTTCATTTTCTGCTCCTAAAATAGAATATCACAGACTATGTAATTTATAACAATGTAAGTTTATTTGGCTCAAGGCTAGGAAATCCAGGGCCATGGCACTGGCACCAGGCTTCCCGTGGTAGAAGGGCAGAAGCAACAGAGAAAATATTGGGACAAACTTATTATTTTTGTCAAGAGCCTAATCATGTGATAATTCACTCCCAAGATAACGGCATTAATCCGTTCAGGAGGTTGGCTACCCTATTACCTAATCATCTCTTAAAGATTTTACCTCTCTTTGGTGATGAGCAGGTGGCATGGTGGTTAAGGTACTGAACTCCCACATAGTTGACTATGGTCTGAGTCCTGGATCCAGTGGCTTGAAATTCATGCATGGAGCATGTGTGTGCATGCCCAAAATTCTAAGAGGAGAATGGAATAGAAGAGACTGTGGTGTGACCATCCCCTCTCAGGGCTGATTTATCACTTTTCCTTTTTCTGTGTCTATCTGTATTTCTGTCTGTCTCTCCACTAGTGTATGCTTCCTATAGCAAAATTCCAGAAAAAAAAAAAGTCCTACCTCTTAATATCATCACAGTGGCAGTTAAATTTCAACATGACTTTTTGTTTTTTGTTTTGTTTTGTTTTGTTTTTGCTATAGAGCACATGCGCTCACCAGACAGACAGAGAGAGACAGAGAGACAGAAAGTGAGAAATCACCCCCCAGAAGGGGTGGCCACACCGTAATCCCTTCTCCTCCATTCTCCCCTCAGGATCCTGGGCATGCACACACACGCCCCCGGCGTGAGTTTAAGCCACCAGGTCCGGGACGCGAACTGCGGTCGACTACATGGGAGTCCAGTGACATAGCCATTACGCTAACTGCTGGTCCCTCAACATGACTTTTTGAAGTGGACATTCAAAGTATAGCAATGTTCCTCTTTGCCTTTGTTTTTAATAGTTCTGTAGCATTCAAATAAACATAAATGTATTTATTTGGTCAGTAGAGATGAAAACATATTATTTATATGAAATATTCAAGATAAAAGTACTACAGAAATTTTTCACTAAAAAATCAGTAGTGTTTTGATTAAATAAATTCTCTTAAAATAATTTTGGGTATGTGTACCCAAATAAATGTAAGCATATTAAATTATTCCCTATTTCTGGCATTTTAGTATCCATTTCTAACACTCTCAAATTATCTTAACCATCTGAATACCTCATTAAATAGCATGCAAAATATTTTCCTATATTCACATTTAGTGTAGAAGGAATTGGTATATAGTAGTGACGTTCACATCCTGTCTATTAAGATAATGAGATTTAAATAATATCATTTAACGCAGTGATGTAAACTAGGACTTTGAATCATGATTTTATTTATTTAGGAAAATTATCAGTCATTATCTCTTCAAATGTAGTTTCTGTTATATTTTTATCTGGAATACATTTTTGTTAGACAATTTTACTACTATTTTGTTGTTGTTGGAGGGACTTTTGCTATAAGGCTTGTAAGAAAGACAGAGACAGAAAGCGAGAACTCACCCCCCAGGGGGGATGGCCATGCCATAATCACTTCTCATTCAGTCTCCTCTCAGGAGTTTGAGCACACAAGCACCTGGTGTGAGTTTCAAGCCACTGGGCCTAAGACTTGAGTCACAGTTGTCTATGTGGGAGTTTGGTGACCTAACCATTACACCATCTGCTGGCTCCCATTTTACTACATTTTTTTATCTTTGGTTGCTCCATGTTTACATCCATTTATTTAGTTCCGATTTATGTCAGATTTAGTAATTCTGTATTCAGATATGCCCACTTTGTGGTTAAACTCATTCATTTACATCTTTTCACTTACTACAATTTTTAGTTCTAGAATTTTTTTTTCATTATTCTTAAAACTCTGTTGTGTCATTTGTGTGGTTTTCAGTTCTCAGCAGAATTCTTTATTTTGTGTTTAATCTCTTTGAGCACGGTCAATATAGCTAAGTACAAATATATACATGCATTTTTATAGGTGTATTTATATATTTTAGGCAAGTTCCCTTTGTTAGTAGTTTTGCCTTTGAAACCAGACAGGCCTGGCTTAAAATCTTGGCTCTGCAACTTACTAGGTGATTGACAATTAGCAAATTAGTAATACACACACACACAAATAAAATATATACATATATACATATATGTGTGTATGTGTATATATGTGTGTGTATGTGTGTGTGTGTATATATTAAGAATATAGCCAGGGGACCAGCAGATTGTATAATGGTTATGTCGCTGGCCTACCATGTAGTCTACTGCTATTCGAGTCTTAAACCCAGTGCCTTAAAACTCACACTGGGCACATGTGCATGCATCCCCAAGATCTGGAGAGGAGAATGAAAGAGAAGGGATTGCAGTGTGGCATCCTCCTGGGGGAGGGGGAGCAGTGATTTCTTGCTTTCTGTCTCTCTGGTGAGCAACAATGCCCTATAGCAAAATTTCTCTTAAAGAAAACAATATAGCCACCTAGCATTATGATGGTTGAGGCAGCAGGATCCCACATGGCTGAATGCATGGTTCGAATCCTGAACCAGTGACTTGAAAAACATGCTGGGCATGTGTGCATGTATGCCCAGAATTCTGCCAGCAGGAGCATGCATCCTCTGGAAATTTAAAAAAAGAAAAACAAGAATTAAGTATAATAATGCATATGGAGTATTATTGAGGCTCTTGATATCTGCTAAGCATACATAAATTGGTTTGTTTTAGTAAAATTAGAGTTGACATGATATAATACAACATTTTAATGGTTCTTCGTCTTGATGCTGTTTTTCTCCAAAGGCAAATGGTGACATAGTGTAGAAAGAGAATAGCCTGCAATATCAGATATACATGGATGCTACTGGGTTTCTTCAATTGCCATCTGCATGAACTTAAGCAAATTACTCAGCTGGTTTCCTATTTTTCTGACCTTAAATGGATTTATTTAAGAATACAGACTTTGCAATACTGATTTTAGAATACAAATTCCCTGGCATTCTAGAAAGAAATGGAAATGTGTCTTCCTCATCATAATCATATTCTAATCTACATTTCAGGTTTTTACATTTGTTAATATTTGAAATTAGTATTGTGATTAGGTTTGCTGACAACTTAAATCATGATGACAAAGTTTAAAAGGGTCAACTAATTCTTTCTCTCTTTTTTTTTTTTATCTTTTGACAAAGTTTTTGACACTTTGCCACCCATACGCTATCAGGAAACAATGAGTACCATCCGAACATGGATCCAGCAGTCAGAAACCAAACTCTCCATACATCAGCTCAGCGTCACTGATTACGAAATCATGGAGCAGAGACTCGAGGAGTTGCAGGTCTGTGAACATTTGAAGGTCATAAACAATACAGCATAGGCATCATTTATCAAGCAATCATATTGATGTATCCTTAAAACAGTATTAGGAATAAAATAATTTTGACAAATATGATAACATACAAATTGAACCAATACACCTACCTTAAGAATAAATCTATACTATTTTATCTTTTAATTTACTACAGAGCATGTGTGCTCATAAATGAGAGACAGAGAGAGAGAAAAGGTGAGAAAGCAAGCTGCCAAGTCTGGGACTCGAACCATGGTCAGCCATGTGAGAGTCCAGCATCTTAACCACCACAGCACCTGCTGGCCCAAATATAATCAATCTATATATTTTCTTCCCCTCATGCATGGTGGCACACACTGTGTGTGTGTGTGTGTGTGTGTGTGTGTGTGTGTGTGTGTGTATAAAATACTGACTTTGAATCTTTTAAAAAATTACATGGTATATTTATGAAGTATATTTCTTAGCTTAGTATGCACTTTCAGAATTGATTTTGATTATTATGATAACATGTATGGTAAATACCTTTGAAGCAATATACAGTGTATTCATGATGGAAAAATTCAATTGGTGTGCTGTAGTGATACACAGTGATTGAATATAAAAAATAGAAAAATAAATTTAAAAAGCTATGTTATTATTTCCCCCTTTGCTTCCTTATTCATAACTTTTCTCACATTTTCAAACTGACAGAGGTGAAAGCAGTATTTATAAAAGTAGTTTTAATTTTAACACTAATCTTACGTACTATTGTAACAAGTTATTTGAGTTCTAGTAACAACATTTTTTGATAGCCTTATCTTGGGTAAAGAAGGAAATAACTTGCAAGAGACTTTAGAATATTTTCCCTGCTTAGGGCCAGCAGGTGGCATGGTGGTTAAGGCGCTGGACACTCCCACATGGCTGACCATGGTTCGAGTCCTGGACCTGGTGGCTTGCTTTCTCACTTTCCCCCTCTCTGTCTCTGTCTCTCTCTGGTCAAATTAAAATAAATAAAGTTAAATAATTCTTAAAAAAAAGAATATTTTCCCTGCTAATTCTAAAAAGTCTATGTCATATAGCCAATCTTATTTTATTTTACCATTATTATTCTTTTTTAAATTTGATGCATGCACTTGCCAGAGAGCAACAGAGAGACAGAGAGAAAGGAGGAGCATGGTCCCACAATCTCTTGTTCCCCATTTTCCACCCTGTTGGGATACTGGGCAGGCACACACATGTACCAGGCATGTTTTTCAAGATGTGGGGTCTGGGATTTGAGTTGTAAAGTCAGCTGTATGAGATCCAGCTCCCTTAACCACCAGGCCACATGTCAGCTCTTATTTTATTTTATTTTATTTATTTTTTATAATTGGCTCTAGGGTGCATATGCTTATTGGAGAGAGAGAGGAAGAAAAGGAAGAAAGTGACAAAGCATCCCCCAGGAGACATGACCACATCATAATCCCTTCTCGTTCGTTCTCCTCTCAGGATTACATGCACGCATGCACACATGCACCCAGAATCTTTTTTCAAGCCACCAGGCCCGGGACTGAGAGATTGCAGTCAGCTGGATGGTATCCAGCCATCTTAGCCACCATTGCCACCCGGCTGGT